GCGCGTTCTGCTGCGGCTGCTGCTGCTGCTGCTGCTGCTGCTGCTGCTGCTGCTGCTGCCGCCCCAGAGTCTGACTGGCTGTAGAGTCAGACGACAGCCAAGACAACACACACACACACACACACACCACTGTTCACTGACCCACATTCTCACACAACAGAGGAAGGAAACATCATCTGAAAGTCTTGACCTGAAACTCAGTGAAAAGGAAAATACCAGGAAAACAAAACAAAACAAATCTCATTCACGGAACAAAAGACACTGAGATTTTAGTTCAGACCAAAGTCCATGGAGAAAATCAGAGATTAACAAAGTTGTAAAGGAGTTTGTGTTGAAATTTGAAATTTGACTTTTCGATTTCTTGTGTCTGGAGCTACTACTTAGATATTCTTGTCTAGACTAAACCTAGTTATTGGTTTTAAGTTTTAGTGTACATCTAACCTTCAGGAATTGATTGATCTGTTTTGGTGAATTCTAACTATTTCATTCAACATTTTTGTCTAACGTTCATTCATATTTTGGAGCCACTTCTGCTTCTGTTTTATGTGAGGCTTCCTCCATCTGTGACGGTGACGTCCGGCCTGTAGGTTTGGTAAGTGTTAACTACAGTATGTGATTTTCACTGACCTACATTGTCAGACAACAGTGGGAGGAAACATCATCTGAAACGTCTTAACCTGAAACCTGGAGATAAAAGCTGCAGCTGAGATACAAGGAAAACAAAACAAATATTTAATCCACAGAACAAATGGCAGAGGAAGTGAAACCATTATGTTTCATCTCACTGCTCACCACAGTGTTACAGAAACACACAGGAGCTGCTCCACCGCACACAATGCCATTCCAAACATTATCATGGAGACAAAAGTTGATTGTTAATCAATACGACACATGAACTTCGTGAGGGAAGCAGCAGCGGATAAACAGCTGATCTGGTCTCTTTGGTCTGAACTAAAATCTCTGATTTTCTCCATGGACTTTGGTCTGAACTAAAATCTCTGATTTTCTCCATGGACTTTGGTCTGAACTAAAATCTCTGATTTTCTCCATGGACTTTGGTCTGAACTAAAATCTCTGATTTTCTCCATGGACTTTGGTCTGAACTAAAATCTCTGATTTTCTCCATGGACTTTGGTCTGAACTAAAATCTCTGATTTTCTCCATGGACTTTGGTCTGAACTAAAATCTCTCTCTGAAGATGTGGGAACCTTCAGCTCACTGACCTGCAGGTCCTGAGGGAGGTAGTTGTACAGAACCACCTCCAGAACCACCTCCTCTCCTCGGATCAGGTAGGCCGGCAGATTAAGGGACAGGAAGAAATCCTGGAACACTGTGAGCTGTAGGAACATGTCAGCAAAGAAGAAACATTGAGGAGGTCTGGGGTTAGCATTTAAGCTAACATTTAGTTATTCCTTCATTTAAGTTTCAGTTGACTTTCATTTGATCTCTTTTTTGTCTTTTCTCTGTTTTGTGTCTGATAACAGAAGCCCAGGAGGACGGGAGTCAGAAGTTTAGTCTTTTAAAACCAAATACCTCCACAGGTTCTCTGATGATGCCCAGACCCAGGCTCTGGGACATGACGAAGGCCGTGGCGACCCAGGTGGTGATGGTGTCTGGAGCCTCCACAGGTATCTGTCGTGTGTCGGAATCTCTGCCGTGTTGGACAGTAAAAGAAAATCAATTTCAACAAACGTGACTTTGATTTCTGACTAACGACCGTCTGCTAACGTCTTTAGCCTTTAGCTTCTTTCTCACTCTTTGTCTTTTCAGGTTGTTGGAGTAAAGTACACAACAAACGACACAGGTGTGTGTGTGTGTGTGTGTGGGGGGGGGGGGGGGGGGGGGGGGGGCAGTGGTGGTTTACCCCAGGTGGAGGTCCATCCATATCCAGGTCTCTGGAAAGTTCCGACGCACTCGTGGTTCCAGTTCAGGTGGCGTGGAGGTCAGGAGGTCCATGTTTTGGTGTTCTGTAGTGAGAGACAGCCCATGACGTGTGTGTGTGTGTGTGTGTGTTACAGTCACACACACACACACACGTCCTGTTACCAGCACTGTTGGACGGAACACTCACCAAACTCAATTCTGTGTCTGAAGTCCTGCCCGTGGAAACTGGCGTCAGTCAGAACCTCCAGTTCACAGCTCTGTGCAGAGCAGATCCAGGAACAGATGTTAGCATGTAGCATACGTTTGTCTTCACCAAGGCTAGGCTAGGCTAATCCTGCTAACACCCTTAACCTCTCTTTCCCAGTCTTTCCCAGCAGATCTGAATCCAGACAGTATTATTACTGCCACCTACTGGCTGTGTTGTCCATTTGGTTCTGTCAGCGCAGCTGTGAGCTGCTAACATCTAACCAGCTAACAGTCCTGCGCTAACTGTTAAACACGTGATGATTTCACAGGTTCAGTCTGATTGAACTGTTCTGACCGTAAAGACGGAGTAGGGGTCTCCCCTGGTCAACATGTAGTTCTCAGAGTAGTCCTCGGGGGCGTCGTAGCTCTCCAACTCCTCCATCACCTGAGAACTCAACACCAACAACATTGTTAGAGCAGAAACACAAACAGCAAAGTGGGACAAAGACACAAAACAGCTGCTATTGTTGTACGATGTCTACACTGATCTGAACGATGGGGGGGCGGGGGGGGGGGGGGAAATAGACCTGGACTCATGTGGGAAAACATGAAACCACTGAAGATGGTGACGGTAAAAACAACAACGTGAGTTACATAAGAAACAGAAGAACCAGGAGGTCGGCAGCTGCCCCCTATCTGAGGCTGGGGGCACTGCAGGTCTGGTCTGAGGGGGACACCATGGGGACACCATGGGTCTCAGGGGGACACCATGGGTCTGAGGAGGACACCATGGGTCTCAGGAGGACACCATGGGGACACCATGGGTCTGAGAAGATGGAAAACAAGAAGAAAGAGGATGAGGACGTCATCTGTCTCCTCTTCACCTTCTCCTTGGTGATGTCATTATTTGATCCCATCCAGGCAGAACTCTGGTCTACCACTAGGAGGCCCACCAGGGAGCCGGGCTCCATCACCTTCACTGTGAGGGTCACAGGTTCTCCTGGACTGGTGGTGTTGGTGCTGAAGCTCAGAGACACCTGGGACACACACACACACACACACACACACACGTACATGTATTTCTGATCAGTGAAAAGGAACCAAAGCAGTGACGGAGAGTGAAGGTTCACCTGGTTCTTCAGCAGCTGCCTGAGCTCCAGTGTGATTTTGTCCGTGACGATTTCTCCGCTGGGAAGGACACAGAAGACAATGACACAGGCCTCGGGAGCCCAGGAATGTTCTGGAAGCAGGTCCAACACACTGGAGCTGGTCCCTGCAGAAACCACCTGACCTCTGGACCTGACCTTCAGACGGAACCACCACAGGACTGGATCAAACACGGACATCTTGATTCAGCTGTGGCTGAACGGTGAACGTGACTGAGGAGGAGAAGGTTTTACCACAAAGTGACAGTTGTCTTCTGGAAAGGTCTTGGACACTTGGAGCCTGAAGGGAGACCCCACCTGGACAGACAGAGAAAGACAAGATGAGGTGGACGTTGACTTCCTGTCCGTGTGTGTGTGTGTGTGTGTGTGTGTGTGTGTACCTGTGGAGACAGCTCAGCCTGGTGGATCTGCAGGTAGGAGTTGGAGGCCGAGGTGTAGCTCCTGTACAGCTGCAGGGTTCGATGGCTGTCGCCAAAGGAGGCCTGAGAAGAACAGTCAGATGGTTCTGTTCTCAGACTTCAAATTTAACGATGGCAGGACGAGGACAGTTTCTGGAGGAATGTTCCGGTCTAGTCCAATGATCTGGTCTTCCTACAAATCTGTGTTTACTCACGTCGATGGTGAGAGTTTGGGTGTCGTTCTTGACCAGGATGTGGAGGTTAACAATTCCGGTTGAAGGTAAAGCGATCTCCATCACCTCAGGAGAACCCATGGTGGGGGGGGGCATGTTTCTAGGACCTAAATTGTCCCAAGGCTTGATGTCTCCCACCGTGTCCTTGGGCCAACCCCAAGGACTGTCGGTCCCCTGCATCACCGACACCGTGACCATACTGCCCACAGCTGTAGGGGGCAGCGGTTTACCGTCGAACGTCGTTATCTTCAGCTGTGAGATGAAAAATCCAGAAGACACTGAATGGCCGAGGCTTTTATTTTGAAATGACAGGAACAACATTAATGAGAAACGTGACGACCTGGGCGACCTAGCCTTTCCCAGGTAGCATTTAGCGTTTCATTTCTGTCTTTAGCGAAGTATAAACACGAGTTATGGATGGACTGGTTATTTCTGCTTCTTATGAGCTAACGTTCAGTTATCGTATCAGTTTCAGACAAACCTCAGGCTAACGTTTGGCTTTAATGAGCTCACTGTTGACACTAGCCTTGGCTAACGGTGAGCTCGTTTGGCTATGTTTGTTTTGCCCTTCTTACCCTGCCGACAAAGTAGAGCAGAGGCCGCAGTATTTTGGGATAATCGTAGAAGGAGAGTTTGTAGCGGTGTTTCTCCAGACACACTGTTGCCGAGTCGTTGTACGTCACACCTGGAACACAGTGACGTCAGACTTTGTTTACGTTCCAACCTTCTCAACCCAGGTGTGTGGTGACGATTCATGAAAAACAATGTGACCTCTGACCTGTGAGGTGTTCGGTCACATTGACAAAGACAGAGATGTACTCCTTATTCAGGAAATCCACGGCTCGTTTCCTCATGGGATAGTTCTCGGGAATCAAGAAGCTGAAATCTGTCATCCCATTGATCTGAAACAGGAAATAGAAATGGAATTCCAAGAAGTTATGATGTATTTCCTGTGTCCGGCGTGAGCACCGACCTCTCTGTGTTCCGTGTACGTCTCCACCATTCCGTGGAAGTGATGAACGAAGGTTAGAAACATCTCTCCCTCCACGGCTATACCGTAGGAGTGTCTGCGACGGACGGTTTATGATTAAAGAATGTAACGTTTTACAGAGTGAGCGTGAAAATAAAAAGGTTCTCACTTTGCCGTGACAGAACCCCACAGAGCGTCTTCGTGGTAAATGGCGTCGGGAACGTCGATCCAAACTTTAAACTTCGGCAACACTGTAGAAAACGAAGAGAACATTTGGACTAAAACTAAAACACTGATTTCTTTCAGCCTTTTTGGCCAATGGAAACAAAGAGAAGATGCACTTACCATAGTTGTCCACATGGAAGTGCTGTTTGCTCTTCACCCCCTGTGAAACAAAGGCGTCACATGATGGGACTTTTTGTCAGATCAACATTCAGAATGTGACGGTGGTGGTGGGAAACCTACGTCCACGGTGGCGTGTATGGTCCAGTTTCCCAGAGGAGGAATCTCAGAGAGCTGGAAGTCGAGGGACACCACGCCCAGTTCTCCGTCCTCTGACTCCCACTGTCTCAGCAGGTTCTCCTTGGGATCCTGGATCAGAGAGGAAGAAGAGTCAAGTTGCACTTTGTATTTATGTCACTAACGTTCTGTCATGTGACTCACTCTGACGGTGATGTGGACCGGACCGATGGCGGGCTTCCCGTCAGGATGAATGGACACCACCCTGAACTTGACCTTCTGACCTGGGCGATAGTTGGCTTTGTCAGTTTGGATGAAGGTGGAGACACCCTTGAGATCGACGTTCAGTTCGGTTCTGTTGTGGAAAACTAGGCCGCTGTCGGAGTGACCTTTGACCTCCAGCTCCATACCCCATTGATGGCTGAAGTCAAACTGCAAAACAGGAATCGTAAAAGTGATGAATTCTCATCGTCGGCGTGATGATCCCTGCTCTGTTGTCACTGGAGCTAAATGTTCCAATCATCCGTTTTTATTTTTGATTAATTAGCACATTAATCAAGTTAATGACATCAACTGATACAGTTACAGCTACACAATGAAAGAAAATTAGATTTAAGCATAAATATGTAATACTGTCAGGACTCACCGGGGGCAGCGTCAGCATCTTAGTAAAACCTTGCAACAAAGAACAATCGAGTTAATTTGCTGTGGAAATTCAGTGCCAGTAGAGGTCAGTAAAGTTAACAGTAATAGCCAAAGAAGAAGAAAACTGAGTGTCGCGGACAGGATCAGCCTGTAGGGGGAGACTGGACTCCCCCTACAGGCTGGGGTCAGGATCAGCCTGTAGGGGGAGACTGGACTTCCCCTACAGGCTGGGGTCAGGATCAGCCCGTAGGGGGAGACTGGACTGCTGTTTGTCAATGTTATGTTAACATCTCAAAGAAATGTTTTTTTTACAGGTAAAAAAAAACATGAGATGCAAACAGCTCCCTCTGCAGGCCAACAGGGAACATATTCACTGCCCAGTGAATATTTACCTCCTTCAACGATAACTACCCCTGACGACAGGACGTTCCCTCCATTAGAGATGTTAGCGGAGACGTGGAGAGAAGAAGAACCCAGGACAGTGACCGACACTGAGGTAGGAACGCCAGGACGTACTGTTGAGGGCGCCACCAGCAGGTAGGAGGGGGCATGGCTGATAGGAAAACAACATGAAACAGATATGTAAACAATAAGTAGAGAAAAAGTAGAAAAAAATGATAGAAGAGACAAAAACAGTCATTATACCTGTGGTGTTAGGAGTGCATATTTGTTAAAGTTCTGTGTGTGTGTGTGAGTGATATATTTGTTAAACTTCTGTGTGTGTGTGTGTGTGAGTGAGTGTGTGTGTGTACCTGTTGTTGTAGTGTGTGCTGTTGGGGTCACCCAGGACGACCTTCAGGGCGCAGAGGCAGAAAATGTTCCAAACCTGGAGAAGCTCCATCAGTGAAGACTGACTGGGGGTGGAGCCAGTCCACAGACTTCATACCTGAAGGTGGAGGCCACGCCCACTGATGCACAGAGGTAGCCACGCCCCCCAGGTCTTATCAGATGAGTCAGGGAAGTGTCCCTGTGGAAAAGTCTTTATTCTATTCTTCCATTGTTAGAGTTAACAACAGTGTCAGCTGAAATGATGAGCCAAAGAGGACACAAAATGTCGTAACCTTAGCCTGGGGATAGAGTTATCACGAAATAACCAACAAATATCCAGAACTAAACCATATAATAACAGCTGGTTGTCCTGGGAACAGAGATGAACATGAAGTCAGATATCTTTGATTTTATGTGAGACACAGACAAACTGTGTCGTTTAATTAGAGTTCAACACGTGGGTGGCAATCAAATGTGCAGTTCGGCCTCCTCATCAGCAGACGGCGCTACTTCACTGGACTTCACCTTCACCAGACAGTCCTAACTGCAGCCGAAATGACAACGTTACGACCCTTTACCTGCGACGATCTGTTTAAGTTTAACAATATGTGAGTGAAATGTTTTAAAGTTTGTTTGTTGTTTTCAAGCTTGTTCTTGTTGAATGTCGGGATTTCCCGCTGCTTATATGCATTTATCGCGCTTCCTCACCAACTTCCGGCAGATTCTGCCTTCACGCTGGGGCTAAAATGCTACCTGCAAATATCCATTCAAAACAAGCGTTCATTCAGCGACTTAACTCTGTGTTTGTCAGTTTAAGTTAAACCATTGACTAACATCACCTTGTTCCAGTGTTGGACGTTGATAACTTAAATATATTGAACTGTTATAAATAATAATAATAATATTATTATAAACTGCAGCTAAGTCACAGTAACTGTACTGGTATAAAATGCACGTTTTTGTCCCAGAATTAAACAACACAACCAGGGAGGAAAACGTGTATATTTTGATGTGGCATTTGGAATTACAGCCTTTGGCAGTGATCGGTCGGTTGTAGTCAGTGGTTGTCAGTGATCGGTCGGTTGTAGTCAGTGGTTGTCAGTCACCTGACTAACGTGTGTGTCATAGAAGTCGTTTTCTGAATGAAATTCAACTACTATTTTAATTTCATGTTTCTTTTTGTCCAACAGAAACCTGGACCCTTTGACAGAAACTGTATCCTTCATTTTACAAACGCACTAGTCATCAGCGCCAGCAGGGGGCTCTTACACACCTAGTCGTTGTTTAAGCAAAGCTATTTAAAGGTATTTCTGCAAAAATATTCCTAAACAAATAATCCTATAAGTAACACACCCGGCCTCCAGGAGGGTTTCTGTAGAGTTTGTGGGAGAACAACACTGAGGAAGGTCAGGTGTTTCAGTGTCCACGGGAATCTGTCGAGGATTCAGGTTCAAATTAAATACAGTTCAGTTCAGTTTCCTTTACTCCTCACGTTTAGTATGGGATTCCGTTTTACCTGCAGTACTTGGCTCACTGGCCGGAGTACTTCATCGTAGCAGAGGCACCTGGTGGTGAACTGATGGGCTACAGTAAGTGTGGCACCCCCTGCTGGCTGACTCCACCGTTTTAGGTGAACCAAAGCTGGTGTAAGTGTTTTTTTTGTTTGTTTGTTTGTTTTTTTACCTGCAGTCATGGGGAAGGCGGAGGGATCTGTGGCGCGGGAGGAGTGGCACGGTCACGTCACAGCCCTGTCGGTGGCTCCGGAGTTCAGACGACTCGGCCTCGCCGCCAAACTCATGGAGATGTTGGAGGAGATCTCAGAGAGGTTTGTGACGTTGCACGTCCCAGGGTGGGTCTGCTGCTGCAGATGATGTACAGTATGTCAAGGAGCACTCCTCACTCCCTGTGTCAACGGTGCTGTTTTATTTTACTACAGAGGACGAATGACTGACATGGATGTACACGTTACATATGTCTCTGAATGTCAACAAAAAACAATATAACAATAGTTGAAGGAAAAAAACAGAAAAATGATCCATGGAGTTTTGGTAAATTAAATGTAAAGAAATGTTTTCATTTTCTGTCAAAAATATAATTTTTTTAACATCAGTGATGTAAAAAAGAAGAAGCGTTTGGAGAGAGACGGCAGCCCAGGTCTGATTGTTCTCTGCTGGTTTTCCAGGAAGGGTGGATTCTTCGTGGATCTCTTTGTGCGCGTGTCCAACCAGGTGGCGGTGAACATGTACAAACGTTTGGGCTACAGCGTCTACAGAACTGTCATCGAATATTACTCTGCCAGCAACGGGGAACCGGACGAAGACGCCTACGGTTAGATCACTTTAACACACACACACACACCTCGTCTTCACGTTTGATAGAGCGGTGAAGAGAAACAGGCCGAGGTGGTTAGCCATGTTAGCAGACGTGTGACTAAAAGAAGCTAACACGTAGTTGGTCACCCGTCATTAACCAACACTGGAGGCATGATGGGAAAAGAGGTTGTGCATTTATTTTGTGAAGTGGCCCAAACACAAAGCCTCATGGGAACAGGAAACAAACCAGTGCTGCTTTATCAAAGGCTCAGGTCGAAAGGTCTCTGTTTGTGGCCAGAAGAGGGCGACATTTGAGCAGTTGTCGCCTCGACTTTGATCTTGTTTTGTTTTTTCTGTGCAGATATGAGGAAGGCTCTCTCCAGAGACACAGAGAAGAAGTCCATCATCCCTCTGCCACATCCTGTCAGACCTGAAGACATTGAATAACAGAAGAGTGGCTCTCTGAGGCTCCGCCCCCTTCTCTACATCATCATCATCATCATCATCAACCTGACACAGTCAGAGAGCCACTGTTTCTCACCCATTCTATCCTTTTAATTTAGAATGACCCAGAAAAGAGGACGAGTGAGAGAGAGAGAGTGTGTGTGTGTGTGTGTGTGTGTGTGTGAGGCACAAATGCAAAAACATGTAAAATAAAGTTAAATGGTATCAAAATGTTCTGCTGTTCTTTTTATCACAATGACTTTGATGTTAATCTTCTCCAGTGTTGTTCTCCTCTTTCTTCTTTGCACCATCCTCCTCCTCTTCCTCACTCTCACTGCTGCTGCTGCTGCTGCTGCTGCTGCTGTCGTCTCGGTCGTCGTGCTCCTCCTCCTGGTTGTTGTTGTTCTTCCCCTCCTCCTCCTGGTCGTCGTGCTCCTCCTTGAGCTCCTCCTTGAGCTCCTCCTTGAGCTCCTCCTGGTGGTCTGTGTCGGTCTGACTCTCTCTGCCAGACTCTGTTTGCAGCTGTTTGTCAGGAGCTTCCTCAGCTTCCTGAGCGGACGACGGCGATGGCGGCGACGACGACAGCTGTGTTTGAGGCTCCGTGGGTTGGTCGGCAGCCACATCCTCGCTCTCTGCCTGCTGACGCTTCCACATTCGAGCCATGGCCAGCAGTTTGAGGTTGGGCTGGTTGGCAGCGTCTTCGGGGAAGATGTAGTCGTAGTACTCCTCCCACCCTGCATCGGACTGTTGGGGAGAAAGGAGAGACAAAGGTCAAGACGATGACCCGGGGTCACGGGGGAGTAAAACCAGTCACAGCTGCTGCTCCTCTTACCCCGTCCTCCGCCGTCAGCTTCCTCCTCTTCTTCACCTTCTCTGGCAGCAGCTTCCTCACCCTCTCCCTGCTGCTGTCGGAGCCAAACTCTCTCTCAAATTCCCTCCAGGACTCCAGCAGCATCAGGCGTTCCTCCTTCTCCTCGCAGCTCCTCATGCCCTTGTTGGCCTCCTCAAAGATCTGCCGACACTTCTGCAGGCGCTCGTCGCTGTCGATGGACAGCTCAAACTTGGCGTAGCTGATCCAAACCTGTGCCAGAAAAACAGAAGACCGTCTCCATGGATGAACAGAAACTGAGCAGTGAACCTCCTGGGTCGGTACGGTACGGTTCAGTACGGTACAGTTGACGGTCAGGGCTCACCTTGACGTGCTGCGTTCGCTGCAGTAGCCGTTTGTACAGGTTCCTGGTGTTCCCAAACTCCTCCTGCTCTATCTCAAAGTCGATGTAGGACTTCCACAGAACCTGAGGAACCAGACCAGCAGCTTAGAACTCAGTCCAGCCCAGAGTTCTGAAACACTGAGCTGCAGTGACACCAACACACACACACCTCGGGCATGTCCAGCCGGGGCTGTCCAATGGCCAGCTCAAAGATGGCCCGGGCTCGGTCCACGTCCCCCAGGATGGTCTCCAGCTCGGCGAACTTGATCCAGGTGGTGCAGTTCTCAGGATTGAACTCCAGGTACTTCTGGTACAGCTTCCTGCAGCGGTCGAACTCACGCAGCTGCAGCTCCAGTTCGATGTAGCCCTTCAGAAGTTTGTTCTTGGGGCATTTACCGATGGCCAGGCCCTGAGCACAGACATGACCTTTAACCTTTCCTGAAGCTAACACCTACAGCTAACACCTTTAAGGGACTTCTTGGCTACGTGGAAACAATCTGTTAGCGAGCCACACTTTGAGAACCACTTCTTATTTTTGGCTTTCCCCCCGCCCCCCCAGGACTGAAGACCTGTCAGAACCTCACCATGATCTTTCGAGCTCCCTGCAGGTTCTTCTGTCGGATCTCGAACTGAGCGTAGAGCAGCCAGATCTTTGCAAAGGTGAACTGAGGAAAAACAACAACAACAACAGGTTCTGAGGTTCTGTCCCACCTCTGAGAACACGAGAACACAGAGGTGGGGGCTGAGGTCACCTGACCTTTTTATGAGGGATGAGGTCCACGCAGGCCGCGTACACCTGCCTCGTTCTCTCAGGATCCTGAGAAAGAACGGAGATCATGAACAGAGACTGATCGGGGGGGGGGGACGAGGAGGGGGGGTGATGAAGCTACATGGCCATAAATCATAAATTAGACAATTTTATGCTGAGTTTCGGCTTTGACCTTTGACTCCTCACCTTGACCTCCAGCTCCTCATACAGAGCGTAGTTAATCCACAGGTAGATGTAGCGCCTCCAGTGTCTCTTCTCAGGGATGGGGGGGGTGTTGGCAATGGCTCGTTCATAAACCTCCCTCACTGTGTCGGGGTCGGCGTCGCTCTCGACCAGACGCAGGTAGTCGAACCAGGCGTCGTAGTTATGTGGGTTGGCCTGGAACAATGAACAGTGAGGAAATCAGGTCGGGTCGGGTCGGGTCAGGTGACCTTCTTGGTTCATAAATACCTTGACTTCCTCTTCGTACTGGAACCGCCGTTTGCTGACGATCACATCCTCGATGCCCCTGCGATCTCCAAACTTCTTCTCAAACATGGTGTAGTTCTTGAAGAGTTCCTGAGCCTGCTGTTTGGGAATTCTGTCCAAGGCGTATTTATAGATCACACGAACGCGTTCAAACTGTCAAGAAATCAACAGGGACGATTCCTTTAACACGGGAAAAGGAAACAAGGCCTCGCACAGAAAATCTGCTTTTCACAAACCTCCTTTTGCGTCTCCTCAAACCGGGCGAAGGCGACAAAGAGGTTTTCATCTACGTGTTCTTCTCCAAAGAACTCCACCGACCTCTCGTAGACCTTCCTGCTGTGAGCCACGTAGCCGTGCTTCTCCTCAAAGCGAGCGTACTTGATCCAGTTCTTCACCTCAGGATGAACGATGACGAGTGCAGCGCAGTCAAGGAAAACCAAAAACACTCCTTAATAAAATGCTGTAAATAAATCAGATGAAACCTGAGTCCAACCACAAGAACTGGTACTTAGACACTGGAACCTGCAGCAGGACGCGTCGTGTTATAAAGGATATATCTCTCATAGATGGTGCGAGCTTTGTCCACCTCTTTGTACCGAAGTTCAAAGTTGATGTAAGAGTGCCAGGCCTGTTCATCAGGCTCCCACTCCATCCAGCGCTCAAACACCTGTCTGCAGCCAGCCACGTTCCCCAGCATCTCCTCCATGTAGGTGTACTTGTACCTTGGAGAAACACGTTTGAAAAATGCCTTCATTTCTGATCGACACAAAAAGAAAAGAACAAAGTTGGAGTTTCTTTTTTCTTTTCTTTCTTTTTTTTTTTTTTTTACCAGAACTGGTTGACACGGGGCAGGATGGTGATGGCTCTGTCCCAGATGTTTCTGGCGTGGTTCACCTGCCGGCTCTTCATCTCCATCTCGGCATACTTTAGCCACAAAGTAATGTTGCGATGGTCGACATCCAGCGCACGCTCGTAGATGGAGCGCGCCCTGCAACAAAAGGAGGCGGTCGTAACGAAGGAGACGGCACAAAAAGCTAACGGCAGCTGAGAGATGTCAACTGTTCAGAGGTAAGTTAGAGGTTACACTGCACCACCGTACCTCTGGATCTCCTGCAGACTCTCCTCCCATTGTGCGTATTTGATCCAGTTACTGATGACAGTGCGGTTCTTTCTAATGTTGTCCTCAAACCCCTGGAACAATAACAAGAACAAAGAGAGACAGACCAGACGTTAACAGCTCCTCTCTTCTCCCTCCATGGTTGTTGGTGTGGGTGAGGGGACGTGAGGACAGTACCTTCCTCTTCCTCAGTTTGTAGTCATTCAGCTCCTCCTTGTCAGTGATCTTCTGTTTGGGTGGTGGTGGCAGAAGTTCCAGCTCCCTCTCTTTGGCTTCTCTGAGGAGCTGCTCCGCAGTGATTTGAACCTCTGCTGGAGCTTTGTTCTTCACCTGAAACACCACAGCTGAGTTAGCAGGATTTACCGTCTTACGATGCTTTAAACTAAATAAACATTTACAAAAACATATATATTTTTCTTAGCTTTAGCCTTTTGAGTACTTCTAGATAATATATTTTTTTAACTTTTTAACATTTTAACTTTAATTTTTTTATCTTTTAACACGTACATCAATCACCTACTAACAATTTCTATTCTTAAATAAATATAATAATAATATAGAACATATAACACACATTTTGTTTGGTAACAAAATTATTTTAATTTAAACAGACACGATGTGATCTTATCTTATTTCTTATTTTGTGTTAGCACTAGTTTAGCTCAAGTTAGCTCACGTTTCTTCTCTCGTGTTTTGTTTTTCTTTTCTTTTACCTTCGCCACCTTCGGTATCCGCTGTTTTCCCGCCGCGGTGGACGCCATGTTTGACCAGAATTATCACCAAAATAAACTTAGAAATACAAACTGGTACAAGGATAATTTAAAAGCGCGGCTACAATGTCTTGAAAACGTTCTTGTTTCCTGCTGGCGCGGCAGCCATGACACTTCCCAGAGTTCCTTTCGGCCACGGCCTCCCGTGATCCTCTGGGGCAGCAATTCCGTTACTATGACGACGGCGATTGCGCGAAACCACAGGCAGCAGAAAAGTAAACAAAACTCCGTTTCTGGGGTTTTGTGGAGTGAAATTATAATTAATTTGGTTTTTTAACCGAATTCTTAAGAAAATGTAAGTGAATGAAACGCACTTTAGCCACTTCAATGCTAATATTTCGTTGATTTATTAGTTATCTTATACCTTTCACTGATATTTAGCTATTTTATAGCTACGGTTTATTCCTGTTTCTGTCGTTTGGTCGTTTTTCTTTTGGTCACCACAGGGAGACCGTGAACGTGAGGAGAAGTGAGTCTGCAGACGCCCAGGGCATCAGCAGCCTCATCTGCCCTGCAACAGTGGCAGTTTTTGGACAAGTCGACGTCATGCAGCTCCTGTGAGGAAACAGCCCTGATTTTTTTTTGTTAACATTGTTGTCTTTATTTCCATTCAGTGTGTTTGTATTTTTTAAAGTAGAAACAGTGTCAGAATTTAACAAATGTCAAACGTCCACAGGCACACATGAAGATGGCCTTTGGAAGAGTTCGTCAACGATAACGAACATAAAACACGTCTAAAACCTTAGTCACTTTCCCAACTCTGTTCTTCAGGGAGAAAGCCAACCTGGCTGTGACCGTGGTCGACCACCGCGACCACATCCTGGCTCACGCTTCCTTCCTTGATCATCCTGTTGGAGACGTGGTGGATGCAGCCGACTGGGAGTCCTTCCTGCAGGAGCGCTTCAGAGCTGAGAGCTGCACGGTGTGTGTGTGTGTCTGTGTGTGTGTGTGTGTGTCAGATGATGTCACACTGAACTGACGATGTTCTTCATCTTTACCTCCTCAGCCACTGAACACACTCTTCCTCCACCTTTTTGTGACACGGTCAGACTTTGCTGCTGCAGGTGTCAGAGAGATACTCAGGTGAGGAAGAAGGGTGGAGCCCAGAGTTAGCCCAGAGTTAGCCCAGAGTTGGCCCAGAGTTAGCCCAGGGTTAGCCCAGGGTTAGCCCAGAGTTAGCCTAGAGATAGCCCAGGGTTAGCCCAGAGTTAGCCTAGAGATAGCCCAGGGTTAGCCCAGAGTTAGCCTAGAGATAGCCCAGGGTTAGCCCAGAGTTAGCCTAGAGATAGCCCAGGGTTAGCCCAGAGTTAGCCCAGGGTTAGCCCAGCGTTAGCCCAGAGTTAGCCCAGAGTTAGCCTAGAGTTAGCCTAGAGTTAGCCCAGAGTTAGCCCAGGGTTAGCCTAGAGTTAGCCCAGAGTTAGCCCAGAGTTAGCCTAGAGTTAGCCCAGAGTTAGCCCAGAGTTAGCCTAGAGTTAGCCTAGAGTTAGCCCAGAGTTAGCCCAGGGTTAGCCTAGAGGTAGCCCAGAGTTAGCCCAGGGTTAGCCGAGGGTTAGCCCAGCGTTAGCCCAGAGTTAGCCCAGAGTTAGCCTAGAGTTAGCCCAGAGTTAGCCCAGGGTTAGCCTAGAGTCATCAAACATCATTGAGTGTGAAAATGATGTTGAACAGAGTGTTTTCTCTCAGGGTGGTTTTTAACTCGGTCTCAGAGCTGGAGCACCTCCTGCTGATCAGTTCTCACCACGGGCCACTAGGTGACACCAGCTTCTCATTTGTTAACAGATCTACAAGAAATACTATAATATCACCATGGAAACAGGCCCGTGTGTGTGTGTGTGTGTGTGTGTGTGTGTGTGTGTCCACTCACAGAGCCAGCTCTGACTGACACCTTCCAGCCTCTGCAGCCTCTCAGCTCAGACGTCCAGCCTCAGTGTTTGTCCTTCATCTGTGACAGACAGCAGCACTGTCCCAGGCTCCGCCTCCTCCAGGCCAGGTGACCTCACCTACACCTGCACCACACACTGCAGTGTTCTACTTTACAGAGATATTTGAACTTTTTTTACGCCCCACGTGTTAGGATGAAGGACCACGACGGTGTCATGTCCCTGTTTGACCAGCAGAGGGCAGTGTTGTCAGTGTCCGGTGAAGTGGCCTCTCTGACAGAACTGATGCAGAATCAGGATGAAAGGAATCACACAGCTGTCTGTCAGGTCTGTTCCTCTGTGTGTGTGTGTGTGTGTGTGTGTGTGTGGCTGCCAGCATCTGTTCCCTCTGAGACTCTGCTGATGCCAGGGCTCTTCTGCCCCCTACTGGTGGGGCTGACAGCAGTGACATGTGGCAGAGCTGAGCTGACTCTGGTCCAGAACGTTGTCCTGTTCTGTGGGAGAACAGGAGGCTGACGACACCTGGGAGGCTGGTTCTGCTTCTGGTTCCTCAGAGGCACAGAACCAGAACCGGTTGGTTTGCTGAGTACCAGAAACATTTGAAGTGAAATAACAGTACCAGACAGTACCAGGATCCACAGGCATTTTTTTTACCACAGCAAGTACTGTTTGTATTTCTTCTACACCTGGGACAGTGTGTGTTCAGGTGTAACTGACATATATTTATACATTGACTCATGGATGTTGTTGTCTTCAGGTTGACGGAGTTGTAGTCGGACTCATCAGCGCCACCTCTGACGTAGATCTGAAGGAGCTGTGTGACAACTTTGAGCTGGAAGAATTTAACGGTTTGCAGAAAAAAACACAGGCAACAAAAAACTCTGAAGCTGCTGCTGAGGAGGAGGAGGAGGAGGAGGAGGAGGAGGGGGGCAGGTTCTCCTCCCAGGAGGTCAGGCATCAGTTTGAACCTCAGTCAGAACCTCGTGTTTCACCACTGAACTGTTGTTTCACGTCGACAGGAAACAGAAGAGAAACCTGACGTGTTCTGGATCAAGTTCCTCCTTCTTGACAGCAAATATGAGATGAGGTGAGTGAAG